ATGACAAGACTGTTGGAAACAACATTAGAATTAACTTTTAGGAAGTTAAACTTCTGAGATATTTTGGAATGTGCCTTTATCTTTCTCCGTTGGGTCTTATTCATCTTTTCTACTGCTAATTCTGAACAATTGTCTCCAACTGGCTGCTGGTGACAAAGATGTTAATGAGTGTGCACCATCTTATTTGCTACAGAACATCTTACCTGGCAATGGGCTACAATGATCAGTACACATAGAAAAGATCCTTTCATACACCAACTTTCCTGTAATAATAACAATAAGAAGATGGAAAAATACCATTTGTGTGGCCCAGACATTCTCTGGATGCAAGTTCTGGAAGAGACTGTCAATTACTGCTTATCAAGTATATGGGTTAAAATTAGAAAATTAAAGTGCAGATAGTTTGGAAATTCATAAACTAAACAATGAAAACCCAGGAGGAACTTCGAGTTCCACCCTAGTTATCCAAAGCAAAAAGCTAGACAGGTAAGAAAATGAACTTTTGAGGGTTGCATTTAAAAAGAACAGAATATATAAATAAGACTGGTGATCTGCTCACAACATAATATCTCAGGAAATAAAATCAGGATGGTAAGCAAATTTTTATTTTATTATGTGCTACCTTTCCTCAAAAAGCTCAAAACCAAGCACAGAGTTCAGGCCCCCTGATCGATCATGTTTATTTTTGAGATTCCTTAAGGATAAGGAATTCATGGAAATCTCTAAGGTGGTTCACATAAATCAGAGGGGATTACTGATTGATACTGAGCTAGTATGACACAATAGGTCAAATCTCTCCTTACGCCACCATGGAATTCATTAGGTAATACATGGCTAGTCAATCTCTCAGTCAGACCTGCCTTCTGGAATGAGGTTCCCTCTGAGATCCAGACAGCCCCCACCCCGCTGTTATTTAGAAGGGCCTAGAAGACATGGCTCTTTGCCCAGGCCTTTGGCGGGGGAGAATAAAGACCCTTTGCTTCGTCCTTCTCCAGTCTGTCATTCTAGCCATTTTAATTTATTTTTTACATTGTTCTTTTTAAAAAAAACTGGTCATTTTTTGTATTTTCCTTGTTTTGCTTGTTCTAAGCTGCCCAGAGTTATTGAGAGTTGGGCAGCATGCAAATTAGATAGAGACAGACAGACAAAATCTCCACTGTAAGGTTGTTTTGAAATGGATTAATCCTCATGCTCTCTATTCCACTGGAGCTCACTGGATCATTATGTTAAATGATTAAGTATTTTATGAAATGCGCAGAAAACCTGCTTTCCTGAAAATGGTATTAACTGGATATCCTCTCTAAAATGTTTTGTGGCATACTCATGCAACCTCCATATCCTGCTGTCAGAAGAGAATGGGTTAGAAATCTAAATAAAGAGTTCTTCCACTCTGCCTCCTCTAATTCTAATCATGTTATGCTTTTTATTTGCTAAATGCACTTTTGTCATTACATCATGCTGCCCCCAAGTGGGATAATGGGTACATCGTGGTATCTTGCTTGATAGTCCAGATTTAAAAGAGGGTATAACCTGTTTCATTAAATTGCAGAATGAAAGGGATGAATGCTCAAAAACCTCCTAGTGTGTTATTACCCAAAAATTGCTTTTAAAAGTTGGCCATACAATATTTATTCTATATGGTATCCTGTACAGAATGTCTATAAGGCAGTGTTTCTCAACCTTGGCAACTTTAAGATGTGTGGACTTCAACTCCCAGA